AATTCGGTTCTAAAGGTTATAAAACTATTATATAATATATTAGAAACTAGGAATTACTAGTTTAAAACTTATTATTTCTATTATATTAATAAGCTTTTTATAAAATAGTTAACTTATAACTCTTATTTCTTTTATAGTAAATAACTCTTTAAAATTATTAGTTTTTAAACTAATAATATCCTATTTATTAGAACTAATAATTTTATAAAAACAAAATAACTAAAGTTCTATAAGGCTAAGTTCTTAGTTAAGAAATATAAATGCCTTATTATTAATTATAATCTTAAGTTTAATAAAGGTATTATTTATATAGATACTACTAGAATTACTCTTATATAGGAATACTAATATAAAACCCTTTAAACTATTTCTATAAAGAATATTACTATTATAAATAATAGAAATATTATTTATTAAGATCTCTTTATTAAAAACTAATATATTATCTAATATATTAGAGAAATATATATTATATTAGTCTATTAACCAGAAGCTTTATATAATCTATTAATTATTACTTAAGCTATTAAACTTTTAGAAACTAATATAAAAGTACTTAATAAATATATTTAATAGTAAATTAAAAATATTACTAAAGAACTAAGATTTATAAAGCTAGTAAAAAAGTCCTTATATTTAATTATTTTTATAAATACTTTATTTATAAATAATAGAAATCTCTTTTCTTAAATCGGATATATTCTAGTTCTAGTAAACGGAACTAGATATACTAATATTATTTACTAGTTCTTTATTAAATACAAGAAAATTACTAGAAGTATTCTAGTTTCAGAACTCTATAATATAACTTACGGTTTTAATATAGGTACTTTAGTTAAATCTATAATTAATAAAGTATTAGAAATAGAACTACTACTAATAATCTATATGAATTTGAAGTTATTATATAAATGCCTTATTAAATTAGGAACTATTCGAGAAAAACATCTAATAATTAATATAATATACTTCTACTAGATATATAAATAATAAGAGATTATAGAAATTAAATAGATTAAGGGAAAATCGAATTCTATTAATTCTATAATAAAATTAAAGCTAATAAATACCTTTAAGTATCTAATTAATATAAATACTATATAATTAGATATAGAGAAATAGGTTAGGTATAAATAGGACAGAAAATAGATATATAGAATAGAAGAATATTATAGAAATAGAGGTTATATATAAAAGGCTATAGCCTTTAATATATAACCAAAACCCTTAGAAGTAATATAAATATATAAAATATTTGAGAATCTAGTACTAGACCGGATTAGGGAATTTATATATAATTAAAAAAAGATACTATTTTTTTGCGTTTTTAGAAAGTTTCTAGTATTAGTATAGCTATTTCTTTAAAAGTTATAGTTACGGGATATGAGATATGAGATATAGGTAATAGAATATAAATAATAAAATATAAAATACGAAATATAGTTATATAACCTTATATCCTATTAGTAACTCGACTAATAGACTAGATCTCTTTAAGCTTAGCAGATTTAAAAATTATATATTAATACTATAATACTATAATCTTTACTTCTAAATAATAATAACTTTACTAACTATATATAAATAATATTCTATAACTTATATAATAGTACTATATATTACTAGTAAACCGATAATTATATTATTATTTTAATAATTTATTAATTAATAAAATTCGAAATATATTAAAATAAATAAGTTATAATATTAATATAAAAGCCTTTAAATATTTTATAAAATATTATAAATAATATTAGAAATTCAAATACTTATTAAAATAATTTAAATTTAATTTAAGAAATAATATTAGCTTTAATTATTTTATTATAATTAATATTTATTTAAGCTTTTTTAATTAGATTATAATAAATATTAGAAAATATATTACTAAAAAAGAATTTATTTAATTTATAAATATTATAAATATTAAAATTAAAATCGGTTTTATAATAGTTTATAATTTTATTATTATAGCCGAAATTAATAGAATTAATAAGAATATTATATTTTAAATAGCTTTTAAAACTATTAATAACTTTATAGAATCTAATAATATTCTTTAATTTTTTAATTTATAGTATTTTATTTTAAATAGTTAAATATAATATTCTATTAGAAATAATATTATAATAATTAATAATATTTAAAAAAAAGTAATAATAAAAATTTAAAGGCTTTAAATTAAATATTAAATTATAAATATTTATAAATTTCTTTTAAATTTATATATTTTTATATAATATAAAAAGAATATTAATTAATTTAGTAATTAAAATAAGTTATATAAGTTTATAATAATAAATAGAAAGTTTTATATATTAGTTCTATTATATAATAATATTATTTTTCGTTTAATTTTTATAAAGTTCTTTTATATAAAAGATATTAAAGTTAGTATTAATAATTTTAAACCTAAAACCGAATTTTATAATAATACTAAAAGTAATATAAATAAGAATTTTTTTATTATTATTTTATTAAAATATAATAGAAAATACTTTTATAAAAATCCGAATATTATAGTATTTTTATAAAATAATAACTTATATAAGAATTCTTACTAAATTAAAATTATTAGTCTTTTAATAAAAGATATATTTAAAATTATTTCTAGATTTTAAATATTAAAAGAAAATATATATTTTTAATTTTTAATTTATTAATAAAATAAAAATAAAAATATAAAAAGAAAGTTTAAAAAATCGAAACTAATTATTTAAACTTATAATAATAGTAAGAAATATATAGTATTAATATATTAGCTAAAGAATTATTTTCTATATTATAAACTTATTTTTAATTAATAATCTTATTTAATAATAATTTCTATATTAATTTATTTTATAAAATTATTAAATAACTAAATCTAAATAATAATTTCGTTTTAAAAGTTATAAAACTATTATATAATATATTAGAAGCTAGAAACTATTAGTTTAAAACTTATTATTTCTATTATATTAATAAATTCTTTATAAAATAATTAATTTATAACTCTTATTTCTTTTATAATAAATAATTATTTGAAATTATTAGTTTTTAAATTAATAATATCTTATTTATTAGAAATAATAAATTTATAAATATAAAATAACTAAAGCTTTAAAAAATTAAATTCTTAATTAAAAAATATAAATACTTTATTTTTAATTATAATCTTAAGTTTAATAAAAATATTATTTATATAAAAATTATAAAAATTATTTTTATATAATAATATTAATATAAAAACTTTAAAACTATATTAATTAAAAATATTATTATATATTAAAATCTTTTTATGAAAAATTAATATATTATTTATTATACTAAAGAAATATATATTATATTAATTTATTAACTAAAAGCTTTATATAATCTAATAATTATTATTTAAACTATTAACTTTTCGGAAATTAATATTAAAGGATTTAATAAATATATTTAATAATAAATTAAAAATATCATAAAAGAATTAGAATTTATAAAACTAATAAAAACCTTTTTATATTTTATTTATAAATAATAAAGATCTTTTCTTCTAAATTAGATATATTCTAGTTTTAGTAAATAGAATTAGATATATTAAAATATTTTACTAGTTTTTTATTAAATATAAGAAAATTAATAAAGGTATTTTAGCTTTAAAACTATATAATATAGCTTATAGTTTTAATATAAATACTTTAGCTAAATTTATTTAATAAAATATTAGAAATAGAACTTTTATTAGTTATTTAAATAAATTCGAAATTATTATATATATACTTTATTAAATTAGATATTATTTATAGAAAATACCTAATAATTAATATAATATATTTTTATTAAATATATAAATAATAAAAAATTAAAAGAAAATCGAATTTTACTAATTTTATAATAAAATTAAAAGTATTAAATATTCTTAAATATCTAATTAATATAAATATAATATAAGGAAATTAGCTAAATATAAAAAAAATAGGAAATAAATATATAAAATAAAAAGAAATAAATATATAAAATAAGAGAATATTATAATAAAAATATATATATAAATAAAACTATAACTTTTAATATATAATTAAAATCTTAAAAATAATATAAATATATAAAATATTTGAAATATCTAATATTAGACTAGATTAGAAAATTAGTATATAATTAAAGAAAAATACTATTTTTTATATTTTTTAAAAAGTTTTAATATTAATTATTAGTTTACTAATAATATATAGTATTATTATATAATTATAGAATACTATTTATATAAGTTAGTAAAGTTATTATTATTTAGATATAAGAATTATAGTATTATAGTATTAATATATAATCCCTAAATCTACTAAGCCTAAAGGGGTCTAGTCTATTAGTTAAGTTATTTATAGGATATAAGATTATATAACTATATCCCGTATTCTATATCCTATTACCTATATTCTATTATTTATATCTCGTATCCCGTATCTTGTAATTATATATATAATTCCCGAAAGAATAGCTATACTAATATTAATATAATTATTTTTTCGGGAATTATATATATAATTACTAGATTCGGGCTATAAGTAATAGAATATAAATTATAAGATATAGTTATATAATCTCGTATTCTATAAATAACTTAATATTTAGAAATAAAAATTATAATATTATAATATTAATATATAGTAATTAGTTTCTATTAAATTTAATAGATTTAGGAATTATATATTAATATTATAATATTATAATTTTTATTTCTAAATATTAATTACTTTACTAACTTATATAAATAGTATTATATATTTCTAGTAAACTAATAATTACTTTAAATTTTTTAAATTATTAATAAAATTAATAATTAAAATAAATATATTTATTATAAGAATTTAATTTTTCTCTTTATTATATAATTATTAAATTTCTAATAAATCTTTTAATATTTTTATTTAATAAAATTATTATATTAAATAAATAAATCAAAAAATTATTAAATTATTTTAAAATTTTAAAATTTTAAAAATTAATTCATATAATATTAAATAATTTTAATTTTATTCCTTTTCCTTTTATTTTATTAATATGTCTAGTTTCTTCTCTTTAATATTTTCAATCTAGCACTTTCGTTAAAGTTTGATTTCATATCAGTGACTTTCATAGGGAAATGCAGCGTTCTAACCACCTTGCTCTAACCCTTACCTCTCGAACCCCATCCCAACATCAGAAGTCCACATGTCGACGTGATCTCCATTCTCTCGACACAGTGGCTTTGATTAGTTAAAGCCTCAGCACAGGCGACAATTTTAATAATCACATACAATTTTTCGCAGTTTTTCAATTCGATATTCTTTCGTGACCGGGCCGAAGCAACTATTATCAAAGCCTTACTACAATAAACTCCAATAGGTAGCCCAGATTCCCTCGACCCACTTACTTTCGCCACTCTCCACTTCGGCAGTGCGCTCGATGGTCAAGTCGGCCTGCATGCAGCGGAACTCAGGCGGTTCGTGGATCGAGAGTGCATCCTGCGGTTGTCCCGGGCGGATGAAGTAGCCCGCACGCATCCAATTAGAATGGATGAGGGCAAAAATCACCTGCGGCGGGCCCTTCGCCTGCAGCAGCGGAGGCCAGAAGGAAGCCACGAGGGTCTTGAGTGTGTCGATGGCCGAGTCGCACTTGTCAAGCGGCATTGCGTGGCGAGAGCAGTAGTCCTCCCAGGTATCCAGTCCTGCCACCCAGCAGGCGTTGATATGCAGTAGAAGAGACGGGGACGACAAGGCTGCACCCAACCCATTCCCATCATTGCTCGTGATGCGCTCGACAGTCCGCTGCCACTCTCGATGCGTTGCCTGCTCGGCTTCAGCGTTTTCTTGGGACTGATAACTTGCCAGTGGCAACCAATCCTGGGATGGGAAGCAGAACTCGGCTGCTGTTTGGGACGGACCGAGAGTTGGAAGACGATCATGGAGCAGGAAGCGGAATTCTAGGGAGCGGAAATACTGCAAGGCGCTGGCAGAGACAACGTCATTCAGGAACAGGCTTTCAGGATAGCGTGCTGGCCGAGGACCCCGGCTAGTCATGGAGTCGGTGCCACTAAAGCCGATATCAAAGTGGTTTTTCCCGAAAAAGACTTGGCGGGCGTCACGCCGGAACGCATGACTCACAAGGAACAGCTGCGTCGGGGGTGCCCAACAGTGACAGAAGCGCGTGTAAGAGGTGTGGCGGCGTTGACAGAAGCAGAATTGCCCCTTGTGCGTACCGCGCTTCTTGCCCTTCCAGCAGGCCCGGAACTGGCATGCGTAGTGGCTACAAGTCCAGCACCTGGACTTGCGGCCTGCTGGCTCCCATCCCCAATCCGAGGCATAGTGTGGACACTCGTGGTCGGGGCCTAGCCGGCACTGGCTCATGAGGCATGCCTGGTGAACGTTGGGATGGCACACATCATACGGAGGTTCGCAAGACCGGCTCAGGCATCCTCTCCGGTAGGGCAGTTGGTAGCCGAAATCGTGGCCTGGACCGAAGATCCACGACACCTTGCTCAAGGGCGCCACGAGGTCCGTATACTCGAGAATGCGCAGGCGCAGCTCGGGGGGAAGGCGTGAAAAGCCGGAAAACTCACTTGTAACTCTTCGTCCCTCGGCTTGTAAGCCTGCGTCGCGGGCGATTTGCTGGAGCCTAACATCGTGGCTGGGCTTGGGGCCGAGTCGAATATGGCAACCCGCGAGAGTGGGCAATTGATATAGTGGTGCCACAATATACTGTGCTGTTTCAACATCAGCCACGTCGCAGACCAGACCGAAGTCAAGAGCGTCGGCCATGATGTGGCGGGAAAGGTAATCGGCCGTCGTCTCCCACTCCGAGAGTAGGATCTGTGCAGAAGAACAGTCTGCTTGTAGCATTTTGTCGTCCGACGAGGGACAATTGGGAGGCGCGTGGCGTTTCTGCGAACCGTTGGCCACGTTTAGTTGTACCGTGAGGCAGGTAAGGGCGAGTAGCAGCTTGGGTTGAAGGATGCGTAGATTTCCCAAGTCGCCAGCGCGACGGTATCGGATAACAAAGCGGTTGGTAGAGTAAAATAAGAGCGATGTCTCGGTGTGTACGATACGGCATATGCGCATGAGGGCGAGAGACGGCGACAGGTTGGGTCGCTCATCGTCATGCTCGTTTTCCATGGGATTGAGTAGAAGATCTCGGCCGCTGTTAATAACAAGCCCAGCGTCCACATAAATGTGGCGTCGAAGGCCGGGTGGGAGGTCGAGAAACCTGGAAAAGACTGGTAGCATTGCTATTCGAAGGCGAATATCGATTGGCGATTATGGATTCAGCGGGATGGAGAATGCTGAAGGAAAGAGAGAAATAGAGAAGTGGGAAGGAAATAGGTACAGATTTTCCTGCATATGCACTAAGCCAAGAATACAGCGGAAAGGCGTCTTTCCGAGTGAAAGCGTGGCTCGGCTCAGGGTTCGCGTTCATCTCGTCTATGAAAAACGCGGCATTTTTAAGCGCTAGGATTTCGTGATGAAACATCTTCTTCCCTTGAATGCTTGTGATAATTCTTCATACTCTTCACATACGAGTACACACTGTGGTCCCTGATTGATCAAACGACTTTCTGGAAAGGGCGTCTGCCATGTCCTGAAGCTAGGTGAGTTGGATTTTGAAAGCAGACATCCTGGCGCCTAATTTTGGAAACGTTGAGGCCGGCTTGCATTTGACCTGCATTCTGCTATTTTTCAACACGACAGAATAACTGAATATAGGCCTTACTCATTAGTGTAAAGGTTTATTTACTCCCTGGCCTCCTCGTCGCAAGGCTCGTCGGTTGTCGTCATTCCGAGATTCCAATGTCAGATTCCTGGAATGTTAGAGTTGTTACAATCAAAAAGTTGAGCCAGGAAGGCCAAAAGGTGAGGCCAGTCAGCCTGCCGAATCCCGGCATCTACAATTAATTACCAAGTCAATCCTGTCGGCCCTCAGACGACAGCTGCCTTCTATTTTCAATAATATCAAGAATAGAAATAGGAAACTGAAATACCCAAGCTCGAGCTCAAGTATATATATGCTTGTTCCTAGCGGCACAAGTAGCAATATTCATTCTCAGTACAGTCTCGCTCATTCAGTGTATTTCTCCATTGCCATATCTTCCCCTCGTCATTTCTTGATTCTTTTCTGTATCTCGCCATTTACTGTCGTCTATCCCCTGCACAATGCGCCTCCACTGGGCAATAGCGCTGCTCTCATATATCTTCAGCCTGAGCAATGGGCACCAGATGAACGTCTGGGACGAGACAGAAAGGAACACAGTCTTCTGGTCACAGACCTCAGTCACCAACGCGGACGAGTTCAGTGGCACCCGCTTCCAGGCGCTCTACGACATTGCACAAGCGAACTTCGACGACGTCAAGTTGCGATCGGACGCCCCGACCAGGGATGGGAATTTACTCGTGGCGGCGCTATGGGATCCAATCACCAGCGTCGTCTATGCGTCTACCATCCCCCGGGGTGAAGCCTTCTATAACCTCGTATTGACCAAGGCAAAAACGCGGGCCCCTGTGTGGTGGTCACGTGGGAGCGAGATCTCACCTTCGCTGGCCTTCCACGCTGAAGACGGGGCGTACTTCCTCATGGAATTCGTGACACACCGGTATTCGGCCCTCGTCGATAACGCCGATAGCGACGATGATAATGTCCTTAATATTCTGAGGGAAACCAGGTACGCGCCTGGCTCTAAGGTAGTGGTCTGGGGCTACTTCAACTCCGACCCTGCCAGTGTGAAGGGCACTGCTGAAGGCCCAGGAACGGGCCGTCGGATCGGGCTCTGTGGCACGACTGGCGCCACGGCCACCAACAAGCCGCGCGACCCAACTTGCAAGAAGCTCGCCGGCCGTCTGGGGGTGACGCCGGATCCGAACGCCGACGACCCGTATCCTGCGGAGCTGGACGAGGCAGATCTTCTGCTCCTGGGATGCGATAATACCGTCCTCGCTCTGCAGGATCCCCCTGCCCCAGGAGCGCCAGGTGCAGTTCCAGCTCCAGCGCCCTCCCCGGCGATGAAGGTCCGACAAGTCGATTCTCCTTCTGCTGCCCCTTCTACTGATCCGTCTGCTTCTCCTGCTGTCCCTTCTGCTGATCCGTCTGCTTCTCCTGCTGTCCCTTCTGCTGATCCCTCTGCTTCTCCTGCTGCTCCTCCTGCTTCTCCTCCTGCTTCTCCTTCTGCTTCTCCTCCTGCTTCTCCTTCTGCTTCTCCTCCTGCTTCTCCTCCTGCTCCAAGTGCTTCGGGCTCGGATGGCCCCTTGCTCGTGTGCCCCGCCTCCGCAGCATCCCCCCCTACCACCATCACTATTTCAGTCTCGTACGACCCGACCCCCTTGAGCGTCGCCCTTCCCCTGGACACCGAGACGGGAGCATGTACGGGGGCATGTTCAGCAACTTTAACTCCAGCTGCCGCGACGAGGGCCGCAACGACGACGACCTTCCAAACTGTAGTGGCCACGGCCGCAAGCTATGGCTGCTCGTTCCAGGGAGACAACCCTGGTAGTGGAGTCACGTCCGCATACTGCGTCTGCTCCCAGGGCCAGTCGACCACCATTACCGCTGCCCTCCCCCGGAACAGCGCTGGCGACGCCATCCCGAGCGGCACCAACAGCTGTCCCTACACGGCCTGGCCGGGCACCGCGGCCATCGCCCCCACGACGACGCTCGGCCCCGCCTCGACGAATATCGCGGCCTGCCAGGTGTGCGTGCCGGTTGTTGTCAACGAAGATTCTTGTACCCCGATCCCGAACTGCACCCCACAAGGGGCCGTGGCGACCGTCTCCATCGGCTCGTCGCCCGTCAATGTCGGCACACTGACAGGGACCGCGCTATACACATCCGTTTCGAGCGCGCTTGAGAGCATCTGCCCGTCGGTGACCCAGACCACAGCTCTAACGCAATGTAGCGGCAGTGCGACTGTACCCAACATCGCCTACGCTTCGGGCGACGACTTAGCCACCGACGGCGAACTGCTCGTTACTGCCGATATCAGCGGGTACAATACTACTCAGCTCCGTGACGCTCTTATTGTCTCGCTGGCGACCTCTGCCCAGCAGGCCGCCACAGGATCCAACTGCTATGTGCCAGAGGGCAGCGCGGGGGTAGGCAGTCCCGCTCCCAACCCGAAGGACACTTTCTGCAACAGCGCCTGGTTCTACGAGGCCAACTATTTCAACCCTTGGTGGCGCCAGGCGGCCTACCCCGGCCCAACGGACTTCATCCATGCTACGATCGAGTTCCACACGGCGCCTCAATCCATCCTCCAATTTGTGTGCGACTTCATCGACATAGCCATTGATGCCCTTGCCCTCGTCGAACCCGAGTTTATTGTTGAGGATGCAGAGCTCGAAGAAGGTATCAATCTTATTTGCCAGACCAATGAAGGGAAAGAAAGCTCGGCAAGTACTGCAAGCGGTTCGAACCCTGACGGGACTACTTAGAAAAGAGGGTTTCCTGTATCTTTTTGGCTTTTATATCTTGGTTTTATTTCGATGTGGCGAAGGTGGCGGGGTGAGAATCCTTTTGGCCTGCAAGTCTACTACCTAGATGAGAAAGTCTCCTATTTTTTATATATGTTTTGTTTCGATTTCATGGGGGCAGCGGAGTGAGAATTGAATTCGTATAAGACTTTTGCGCACTCAAAAAAACCGGGGGCAATTTGGCGACCACAAATTTTGATAGCATAAATAGGTGGATATAAGTACGAAAAGCTCGCGTACCAATGTCTCAAATCGTCTGGCACCTCATCTACCAACCCCGAGGTGTTCTAGCGTAGCAAAATTATCTTCGTCCGGCGAGACATGGTCCGTACTAGCAGGGGGGCCTGGCTCAGGGCGAAAACGCGATAGATTACTAATACTGTAAGTTTCTAAGTAAAGGCAGGCACTTTCGCCCTGAGCTAGGCCTGCGGGTACGGACCATGTCTCGCCGGACGAAGGGATAGCCGAAGTTTAGCGCTGCCGGCCCAACCACACCCTTCTTCGACCTGCTTCTTTCCCTCCGAACATCTAAGCTGGTCGGACCTCAAAAGCACAAGGGTCCCCTCTTCTCAAGTCGACTAAGAGAGGCAGCGTATCGACCGGCTGTAAGACCTTCTGGCCACAACCTCCGCAACCCAGCTAAGCCATCGTAGCCGCGCGCTTGCAAGGTTCTCAAAACACTCTTGGGAGGGAAGGCAGTGAGAAATCCAACCTATTTAATACCTGGAACCTCAACCCTATTTGAAAATCCTCTTTATACAAAGGCCTTCCTCAACGCCAACATGCCCAAGCCAGTGTGCCGAATCAGATGGCGACGGGGGGAACCTCTCGGCCTGATCGAATACACATCACCTACTTTCCTCGATCTCCCAAGAGAGGTCCGCGATCAAATCTATTATACCGTTCTCGTCTCGCCAAATCCTATTTCCGTATGCTCAATGCATTATACATGGACTACCAGATCCCAAGACAGGAGATTTACGTCGATCGAAAGGCTTACTCTAGATCCTAGTTGTCCAATACTCGCACCGCCCACGTTGGCCATTATATCTTGCAGCCGGCAACTAGCGGTCGAGGCTAGAGCGGCCTTCTATAGCCTCAACACATTTCGGTTCGCGGGTCACGAGGCCTGGCAGCCTATGTACCGGTGGCTCGACATGATTGGGGAAGGGGCAAGGGCTCATTTGCAAAATCTTATGGTAGAAGTGCTTCTTCCCAAGGGGCTTATCCAAGATCGGCATGGCAGCCACGAGTTCTGCTACCACTACGGGCTTCCTTGGCAATTTCGGAGAGTGGCGTTCAGTTGTGATTCCGGCAAAGATTCTCGGGAGCCAGTAGATTATCTAAGCCCTGCTATCGAAGCTTGTTTCCGCATCCTGGGCAAGGCAGGACGCGCTCTGACCCTGAGATTGGTTCTATCTGAAGACTTTATTCCGGGTGAAAGGGCTAGTGTATAGGCTGGGATAGCCTGGCCGTTCCGAACCAGGTGGAGCGGTCGAGCAGGGAGTTTGCAGCGGACCGGATTACGGTCCTGTGGGAGGGGAAGGGGGAAGGGGTGGGCTTCCGGGACAGTTTTCTAGACAAGAGGGCTATTATCGAGGCCCAAGGTTGGGAAATCATCGATATACGAGTCGCCCCCCTCAAAAAACCCACGATATTATTTACGATGCGTAGAGCTTTGAATGCTTCTTGTTCTAGTTAAACTAGCGGACTATCTTCTATACAAACGAAATGTTGACAACCTATAGCACTTACAAGCGATCCAACCATGTATGAGAGAGTAAAGAGAAACCAACACCGAGAGATAGGAACCTTCAGCTATCTACCCAGACCGAACTACCACCTTTGGAAACCCTGCTAAGCGTCCAACCTAACCCAACCCCTCGGAAAGCGGCCCTTCACCCGAGTAGGACGCCACTCGGGTTAGGGTTGCTATCACTCGCAACCACCAGCTTATTTAGAACAGAAGCGTACGATGGGGTAATGCCTGCCTGACTAGTTGAGCCGAATGGAGTCACGCCATTCACGTCTGGGCTCGCCGTCAAACTGTTTTTCCGCCTTCACCTTATTAACATCCATCTTCCCAATAAAGTCTTGAGTAGAGATATACCATCCCTTGCAAGGAATACACAAGCATGCAACGAGCAGGGTCTACTTATATGAAGAGATATGATGTTTTGCCTGGAGAATGTCATACACCTGTCTCGCGTAGGCCCGGGTCGTCCCCTTGTAATCGGTAGGCCGGAAAGGGGGAGCCTGGACAAAGGTCCTCCATCCCGTCTGTGTGTCAGAATATGCGTTTGGGATCCATTTGACTACCTGACTGGCAGAGATAGGAACTCGGGCTTCGATATAGTGGGACTCTGAAGAAAGCGTAGAGTGTGTGGCGTAAACTGGTGTGGCTGCCCCAAGCCCCGGAAGGGTCGAGGCGCAAGCCAAAAGGCACAAAGTAGCTTGGGTTATAAAGCGCATAGCTAAGGCGGGCTTAAATAATGATAGTATACGAAGACAACGGCATAAAGTATCGGGAATACAGGGCATTATTTTATAAAGGCTACTAAATGCCCTGTAAGGTCTTACTTTAATCTCCCTGTAGCTAGTCCTAGTCCCCTGTAAGCCCTGTAAGGGTCCCCTGAAATGTGGCTTACCTCGCTAAACCTCTAATTTCGATAATTTTTTAATTAGTTCGATTTTATCTATCTAAATAACTATCTATTATATAGCCACCTTCTCTTGATCCTTCTTCCTCCCTTCTTTATACTCATTCCCCCCTTCCAAACATATTATCTCCTTTATATAATCAGGAATTACTATAATTCACTCTTGAATCTTGCTCCGGGGAAGGTCTTTCTAGTATTTCTCCCACCTTACTCTCAGCTTCTTCCTATTACTAGTAGGTCCCCGCTAAGTAGTTTCCTTTTTTATCCAGAACCAGGCTTTCTTAATTATTTAAGATCAGGTAAGTTTCCTAACCAAAGTATCTTTATAATCTTTTATAGATTATAAATCTCCCTCTAGTAATATAATTTATAAGATCCTATATTATTCTCTTATATAAGAGTATTAGGATAATTCTTTTAGTATTTCCTTATAAATAGCAAGAGCTTCTTAATTAAGATCTTCTTCTAATATTAATACTAATTAATTCCTCCTTATTTATTCTTTATAATATAAGTACTAGTTTTCTTATTATATTTTTATATCTTTTATATTCTTCTAAGGGCCCTTCTATAAGCCTTCTTTTATTTCCTTAGCTATTTCCTTTACTTCTTTTCCCACTTCTGTTTATTAGCCTTCTTAATTAACGAGTTCCTCGTATTAAGATTAGCTTTATAATCTCTCTTCTCTTATAAAGTCTTCTTTTCCTATATATAATAAGGCCTCTTTTTATTATAAGAAAAAGATTCCCAAAATATAAACTCAGAAAATCCTTTCTACTTTCTTTATATATAATACTTATTATATACTTTCCTAAATAATCTCTATATATATTTCTTTTCTCTTATATTTTCTAATTAAATAATAATTTCGTTTATAAAAATTATATCTTTCTAATTATTAAGTATCTAATATTCTTATTTTAAGTACTAGGCTAATCTTTTTCTTTTACTAAGGATATTTAAACCAGGATTAACTATTAGTTTATACTAAGAGTAGCCTATTATAGGAGGGAAACTATAATAAGACAAAAACTCATATAAAGTATACCAGAGTATAAAACTTAACTTAATAGCAAAATAATAAATTAAAAGCATAAATAGTAAAGTATAAATAGTATATAATATATAAAAGCTTAATTAATTAAATACTCATAAAGAATTATTCTCTAAGTCTATAGAAAAACTAGCTTTCTTATATAATTTCCGCAAGTTATATATAAAAGGCCGCAGCCTTTACTATATAACCTAAATCTTAAAACCGCTAAAATAATACGATTTTTAATAAGTATAGCCTGCCATATTATATCTGATTCCCTATTTATTTATACTTATTTCCTAAATACCAAAAATAATAGAAAAATCCTATTTAGAGTCTAAAATAATAAAATATTCAGGATCTTTCTCTATTAGTTAATCTAATTTCTTTTCCGTATACCTAAAATAAGACTTATTACCTTTAAATAGTCTTATTTCGTATTTCCGAACTTGCTTAAAGGTAATCCGAACCCGCTTAGCTATATTTTTATACCAAATCCAATATAGTTCTCTATATTAATTAGTATCTGCCTTTAACTATTACTTAATTTCCGCCTTTACTATAGGGTATTAAGGAGGCTTATTATAGTAAATTATATTATAAATTATACTAATATACTCTAAATAAATAGCTTTTTCGAATTTCGAATTATTTATTATATTCTTAAATTAACCTTTAATAAAAGGAGAAAGCTCTAGATAAGAGACTTTAATAACCTTATAGAAGACTTTATTTTCGTATATTTTATCCTTAATAGTAACTAGACTTATAGGAACTATAGTAAAAGGCCTATTAAGTAATAAATTATTATTAAGCTATTCTTTAACTTATATATTATCTGAGAATTAATACTTTCTTATAATTCCAGACTTATAGATTACCTAGCTAAAGGTATTTATTTGTCTAGTTAAATAAACTATATTCGGAGTCTTTTTTCCTATTTCCTTTAATAAATACTCGCCTATTTCCTTAGCTACTTCCGGCTCAAATTTATTAGAAATAGAGGAGTAATTAATATCTTTAAAGAACTTCTTATTAAAGGTAATAGCCTTTTTATAGTCTATAAGGAAAATATAGCTAATATTTCAATATTCTTTACTAAGATAGAATTCGCTATTTAAGGCTTTAGTAATAGCTAGATCTTTAGTATTGTTTTTATACTAATTATAATTAATATTTCCAGAAGTAAAGTATTAGGCTAGCTAAGAATAAGTAATTAGGTAAACAGGATACTTACTTAATATCTTATAAAATCCGAGCCATATTAATAGATCTGCTATTAAAAGTTAAGAGGCTAAGGTAAAGTAGCTATTACTAAGATCTCTATATATTAATATATTATCTTTTCGGAGATAGAACTATAGTATCTCTATTTCTTTTATTAAGAGCTCTTAAATACTAAGCTTCTTAATCTATTTCAGGTAATTCTTCTTATAAATATAGCTATTTATACCCAAATTAGTAGTATTAGACTCAGGAATAGAGATTATAGTATTGAATTAGAGCTATAGATTAGGGCGGAATTAATTAGAAATACGGTACTTATATTTATACTTTTCGATTTCCTGGTTCTTAAAAAAGAAATCTCGTATTTCCTTATTTACTCAAGTAATAGAAATATGCTTCTTGCCTTTAGTAACTTTATAAATCTTAGTAACTAGCTTCAGAGCATTCTTAATCTCTCATATATTAATAGAGAAAGTATTAGTAAGTTACTAAATATATATTATATAGGGAGCTTTAAGGAATTCATTATTAATTCTATAGTATTCTTACTTATAAATAGGTCCTATAACTCTACTATATATCTCCTTAAAAATATACTTATTCTATTAAGTAAGTATTAATTTCTATTTAGCTAATATTTTATAAGTATACTAAATGCCTTTATTAAGTTCTCTGGACTTAATATTCCTAGTCTTTTGCTTTTTAGTTCTGGATATAATTAAGGGAGTCTTTTTAGATAGTATTTTTCCCTTTAGTATAAAGGGCTTCTTTTTGCTTTCTGCTATTTTACTAACTTTATACTTAGTCTGGTATTTAAATCTTTACTATTTATTAGGAGTCTTAGGCTCAGCTTGCTTTCCATTCTTACTAGGTTCTTCTTATCTAGTTATACTGGTTCTGCTAGCTTTATTAGTAGTCTTCTTACTAGGCTTTACCGAATTAGCTTTATTTTTCTTAGCTAGGTCCGGTTAAATTAAAGCTGAAATTATAATAGGGGCCTATTCTTTAGGCTTATCTCGGAAAGCAGGAAAAGGCTTATTATTATAAATTCCCTTAATTAGGATTCCGGAAGTATTAAAGGTATACTATCTAGCTTTAAGATTATTAGCTAATAGTAGCTTAAACTCTAATTCTCTATATTCCGAAATAGCTTTAGTATACTTGAATACCTTAGTAATATCTGATTTAGTAAATATACTAGTATTCTAATATTTCTTGTTTTTAATATATTCTAAAATAGCTTTATTAATTAACTAAATAGCTTTATATACTAAAGCTTTTATTTTAAAAAGAAAATATAACTTCTTATAAATATTCTTACTAAGATTATTATAGATATTATTAATATATTAGCCAAAAGCTTTATTATATAGTATAATTCTATTCTGACCCTTAGTATTAAGACTATTTATTATAGTCTTAATCTTATTAAGCTTCTCTTATTTGCCTTTAGAAATGCCTTTAATAATATTCTCGAATTCCCTATTATTAGCTTAATAGTTCTTTAGCTCTTTTTTAGTTAATTCCAGTCTAGTTCTGTCTCTAATAAAGGTTTTCTACTTTAAAAGCTTATTATATATACTATTTAGCTTATCTAAAATATTTATATTAAATTCGGTAATTACAGCTATCTTTTCTGGTATTAGTAGGCCTTTTATAACTACCCAAGCTTCTTTAATACTCTGAACTTTAATACTATTAATCTATAGGCTTTTAATAATACTACGGCTTATAAGAACTAGCTATTATACTTTACTAACTTAAGAAATCTGTTTTTTGGCCATTTTATTATTTTTAATAGATTATAAAAATATTATTAG